AATGAATCTTGAAATTATTCTTTATTGCGTTAAATCGGGCTGTAACCAATCAGGTCTGAGCAAAACCCGATTTAATGTGATGTTCTAGGTAGGTTGTGCTGTCTATTCTGTCTAAATCTCTATCACCCCTCTCTGTGAGGTCTCATGATGTCATGTCCACTGTGAATGAAAACCTCACTTTAAACCTACATTGTATTTTTCTAGCTTTCATCCACTTTCAGTTCACTAGTCCATGAGGTTGAGTTCCAACAGCTCTTATAAAATCATTATATGAATCATGGCTATAGCGTTTCCATGACATGAACTCACAAAAGCCAAATGTATGCTTCTCACTTGAAAGAACACAACCAGCTTTTGAATGAGGATGAACATGTAGCCACCTATTTGTTGGACTTTTTAGTGGATGGTAAAGGTACTAGACTTAATAAATATACTAGATGTACTCATAAGCTAAAGTTATAAACAAATGAGAAGAGTACTGTTTTAAGCCAATGAATAAACTCATCAGTTAAACCCAGAAAATGATAAATCCAGTACAGATGTTCGGCTTTAAAAAGCCAGTACAAATCTCCCTGTCAGTTACCACACTAGAAATGAGGGGGCCCATCCTCGCAGCACCTGTCTTGTAGTTGTCAAAGGGAACTTGACATGCATGTGTGTGTTTGTGTGTGTATGTGTGTGTCCAGAATGTGGGTGTATATCTTCATCCACAGCAGCTGCCCCTCAAGCACAATGACAAACAGGCTCATTCAAACGCTCTTTATGTAAAGCAGAATAGAGGAAAATCGGTTCTAGTTTCAGAAGGAACAAAATCCTATTTGTTTTTTTACTCTCTGTCCCAACAATACTTTGTACTAATCACATTAACACAGTTGACGTGATTAAGTCTAATAGACTTAAAATGGGCACTTTTATCAGCAATCCTGTGTGACTCATCGTTTTCTCTTCACATTCAAATGTTGGGCATGCTGAAATGACATTTGTGAGGCAATTTGTTATCATATTTTCCTTTATTAATGGGATTTTCTTCATAGGCGTCCATAGTATCTCACGGGCATTTAATTATATTTCAGTGTGTTTGTTAAAAAGAACTAATCTCGCTGTCATCATTTTTTCATAGAACGGTGACTTCTTCATTTGACAGTGTAAAAATAATGTCACCGACTAAGTCAAATGCTCACCTCTAAATCGACAAATGTTTAGTAAGGTTCCAGAAAAGTAGAGAAAATGAAAAGTCTTTTATGCTTAAATGTCCCATTCAACCAGAGAGAATGTGCTTCACAAAGGAGGCGTAGTTGATGCACCCATTGGCATCCTCCTGTCCAGACATCAGTCTGTCCACCTCGTCTTCTGTCATCCTCTCTCCCAGTGTTGCCAGCACATGACGCAGCTCCGCTCCCATGATGGTGCCGTTGCCCTCCTTGTCGAAAACCCGGAGCCCCTCCACAAAATCCTCAAAATTACCCTGATCTTTTGCACGGGAGATGTGTTGGAGCATCGGCAGGAAGGTCTCGAAGTCCACCATTTTCGAGCTCATGTCCTCTGGCTTTGGTTTCCCAAGCACTTTCAGCACATCTGCGTTAGTCGGGTTCTGGCCGAGAGCTCGCATCACATCCCCGCACTGGGCGTAGGTGATCTTCATTTCCCCGGTGGGTGTGCGGTCGAACAAGGTGAAGGCCTCCTTGAACTCCTCGATCTGGTCGGAGGTGTACTCGAGAGTGATGCTTTTGGGATCAAAATCTGGCTCCTTGGGAGCCTCCGGCAGCGGCTCTGGAGGTGGAGCTGGTTTAGCTGGGGCCACATCTTTCTTGGGTTCTGGCTTTTTGGGCTCAGGCTTCTTGGGTTCAATCTTCTTGGGTGGCATCTTATTATGGGATTCGGAGGTGAGCTGGTACTTGCTGTGAAACACGCGAGCGTCTGAGAGGATTGGGGGTGATTCCCAAGCACAAGGGGCCCCCTACTATTCCAAAGCTTTTATATGTGCTTTGTCTCAGGAGCCAGATAGCAATTTCCAACAGCACACTATAAAAGGAAGAAAACCGAAATAGATCCCCATAGCAAGTGATGTCAACATTAAGTATTGTTCTCAGCTGCTGTCATGTAGCCGACAGGGCTATTTGCTGTCATTAGCGAGGGTCCAGTTGCATTAGGCTGAAAATGTTCTGTCTCTCTGATGGACAAAGGGATCAGAGCACAGCCAGTGTATCAGCTCATGAGGGAGACAGACCAAAATAGCTTTGCTCGCTAACTGCTGAAAGTCTGGGAATCACTGGTTTCTAGAACAATGCTTTTTTTCCCAGAGCATTGTTGAAGCTACCTCAGGAGCAGTTATATCTTTATGGCAGAGGTCTCAGGTGGGCTGAGTACACTTAGGGACTTATCATTATGGATTATTTTATAATAAGAGAGGGACATTCTCCTTTTAGACAGTAAGATGATAGGGCTTTAGGGAAATGCTTTAAATCTGCCTTGCAATTCCTCCTATCACTTTATAGTTTTTAAGAGACAGAAAGTCTGCCAAACCTTTTTTTCAATGAGAGATATGTTTTGATGGTATCAGTGCTCAATGATTCGTATAGGGAATTTGGCAATTTCTCATTTCCCAGATAAATGAGTTTGCGTTTTCCCTCCTGTCGCTGAATAGCTCCGAGTATTTCACCGTATCTAGGAACCTGGCAAACTCTCACAGTCCCTTGAGGCACTTTTAATTAATATTTTATTAAATGGTGATGTACTGGAAAGGTCAATGAGTTAAGGCCATAAATAAGAAAATGTATGTAACAGTGACAGTATTAACCATGCTGTTGTGAAAGAATATCAATGCGTATTTATATTTCAAACAAAAAAGTTAAAATGACATTGTAGAAAATTCAATTGCATTCTAACTTTTTTATAATTTACACGGAAATGTATGATTACATTGCTTTATTCAAAAACAAAGGGTATTCAAATGTCTGACTGACATCATCCAAGGTGAAGGGAGGGAAAGCAATCCCATTATGCCTCTACTTTATAAACACATAATATGTCACTTGGCTTTATGTAGATGACTGTTGTGTAATTCCCTTTAGTGAATAATAAATTAACCAACAAAACATTCATTTCATATATGGGAGAGCGAGTATATAGAATGTGCCGTTCTCTGTCGCAATCTTAATCACAGTATCTTTAATTTCATGCACGCATCACAGTTTATCAACTTAGTTTAAAACAGCTAGAGCTTGTCATGCGATAATCACATTTACCCTTCTCCATCTTCATGCCAGTCCCCCTTGATCCATCAATCTCGAGCCTAAAGTCCTTGGACAGTGTTCTTTCAGTGTGCAGATGTGCGAGTGTGTGTATGTGTGTCTGTATACTTGTCCTTTACCTAAGATCATTATCTCCCTTCTCTTTGCTTTTTTGAGGTCACATGGCTTGTAAAACTGACAGCTAATTTGTCGTCTGCGGGTGTGTACGTGCATGAAGCAAGAAGCAAAAGAGTAAGACCTGCAAGACGGGCCAAATATAATATTTATTTTCTAACACTATATACTGTCTGTAAGATTCCAGGTATTTCCCTCATGGCTACCACTCCAAAAACAGAGAAATGATGAAGCGCCTCAATGCTTTACTTCATTCCCCATCCTCTTCACTTGGATGGGTTACTTACTGGTAATCATTACTGTCATTTTGCTGGCAAAAAAAAGGTACAAATTAATCCATATATATCAATCATACCCACTTTCCTGCGTAAAGTAATTCAATCCTTTCACATTCATGGTAACCTCAAGGTTAGAGCTGCTGCTATTTGGCATCTTTACATTGCAGCAAAATGAAGCCCTGTGTTGGATGTGAGTAACCTGACATCAGACCTTGATAAGAGATAAACAAACCATGGCAAGGTCAGTCTCATGTTTGGAGTATCTGACCAAAACTCTGAAGTGTAAGCTTCGTGGTGCTGTCATTCAGCTGTGTACAGATGTGCTGGCAGGATGGGTCATAGAGGGACGGATTATTATTCTTCCTGTTTATTTGTCAAACTCATCAAACACTAGCTTCATTCAGTATCACAATGCACCTGAAGTAAAGCAATTGGTAGCATCATGTATGTTCTGTAAAGAAGTGCCAGCTGTCAGTAAATGTTGAACTGAGCCGATTTATCTTGGATCTAAAAAAACTTTCTTTTATTTTCAAAAGCTTCACGTAAACTTTGTCACATTACAAATGAGTGATTATGTACTTGCTCACATCTTGAGTGTCTTAGATGTGATGAGAAAAACAAAATGATTGTGAAATGACCTGATAAATCTGATATGCTGGACATGGTGTTGAATATCACTGTGTTTGATAACTTAAACTGAGATCATGTGTTAAAATGCAAGTGTCCCGGGAGCCATGAACCCAAAAGTGTTCAGTCAGTTCATAGTGATGATGCTGTTACCACGGATACAGCAGAGAGACTCATGACAACTGCACAGACGGATGATAGTGATAAAATCCTGGATGGCAGCATAATAATGCACCATGGGATATATTTAAAAGAAGATGTGACTTCATGTGTACAATATTAGATATTACATTTACTTAACCACTGTTCTGTTGCTCTCATGTGTGGCTAGAACATCATATCAGTAAAAAACAAAGTCCAGTCTTACAATTGCTGGATATTGATATGTTCATGCTACTGTAATCAATACAGATTCACCATTGTACTCAATAAGGGTTCTTAAATTGAGTTGTGAGACATTGATGTTCACTGTGTCAATTTAGTTTATTCAATATGTGTGAATGTGGGTTATGTACTCGAGGTGATAAACACTTGCAGGCTCTATGGCTCTTTTCTAGCCTCTTTGAGCACATGGTTTTGGTTTTATGGCCCAAATTTCACTTTTCTTCACCATGCTTACAAGTAAATACATTCAAATATAAAAGGTGGACAAACTACACACCTTTTGAGTTTTTATGACAACTGAAGCTACCACATGTTCTTTTTAATGTTTGGAAGGAGAGAGTGAGATGAGGGGTGTTTAGCTGCAACATGCAATTTCAATACTAGAAATCACAAAATGCTACACACTGTACCTTTAAAAGCTGGTTGTGTGCTAAGATGTTACATTTCAGATTTGTTTATTGTGTTGTGAATATGTGGAACGCAGTGGGTTGGTGGGTTGCCCACTCAACCAAGCTATTTCATGCATCTTAACTAACACGCTCTGTGGCAGTGAGTAAATGAGATCATCCGAGACCACTTTCAGGAAGCTGACTTTTCAACATTTCCAGTAATACTGCCCCCAAATGGCTTCAAAAACACCCTGCAGCTTTCAAAAGAGGAGATGTACGTTTTTTTTCTTCCCTTCAACAATATTGTCTGCACTCTAATTCACTATTGCCTTTCTAAAGTTTCAGAGCACAAGAATCTGAACTATCCCACCACCCTCAATTCCCAATCTAACATCAGTCTTTCCCCTCCAACTCCGCTGGGTACCTCTCTTTCCCTCTGTGCACATGTGTGGGCGAGTGTGTCTGCTTCCACGCCTGTGTTTTTTCATAGAGGTCTTCAGAGGGCTTGTGTGTCCAGGCGCGGAGAGGATGGTCAAAGACAGCAAGCCCCTTAATCCCTGAGATAACACTGGGAATGAGGGCAGGCAGACCACCGGTCTAATAAAAGAGAGTGATTGAGACAGCGGTTACATTCCTCCCACGGCAGTGACGGGGTGTGACTCAGACTTTAAAGATTCAGTGATTTCTAAACTGGCTAAAAAGGGAAGCAGCTCTGAACCAGTTTCCTTTCTTCTGGAGCCCCATTCATTGTTGATGTACGTGAAATACTTTAGCTCATATCATGTTATGAACAGAATAATAAAACTATCCTCAAATCTCAAATTATATTCATCCAAGAAATAAACAAATCAAATATGTTTGTACATCTTTCTAAAAATATGACCACAGCACCCAACAACGTTCAAGTATGTGTTGACAGTGAGGTATTAAATGCGTAAACATTAGTGCTCCCCCCCCCCCTCTTCAGCTGCCACTCCAGAGGACGGTAGCCTTTTCGACTCCTAGGAATTAGCTAATCTGAAAGAGGAATTAATTTCTCTATTTTATGGTTTGACAAACAAACTTTTTCTTACATAGTCCAGTAATAGTATTGCGGTGTTATAATGGAATAACTGTTACGGGAACCAGCTTGCAGACATCTGTGTAAACAATTTAATTAAGACCATGTTTGATGAATTATAGCTGGTGAAGGCACTGCCTGTTCTAATACTTATGTTTAATTACACTAGACACCCATGTGTTCATTCTCTCTGCCCAAACCCTGTACTCTTTCCCCCTGCTCACAATGAGAGAAATTGAAAAAAAAAAAAAAAAAAAACTACAAAAGGGAAAGTACATTTCACACTCTACTGAAGCAAAGCAAGCAATTTGAAATTAATCAAAATACAATAAGTTTACAACATGATAAAGAGGTGCTGTATATAAAATGAGGAGAGTCAATTTGTGATACCCAGCACTCAGTTCTGTAGTTGTGGCCAAGAATTTATCTACGTTGTAGGTGAGATAGTTGAAATATCTACATAATAAATTAAAGCAAAATTCGGAGTAATAAATAAGTTTTTGAGACAATGAACAAGAATTGTCTATGTTTCATTCACAGTTATAAATAGAAGAGAACTGTGTCATTAATAAAAAGGAAAAGAAAAAGGTGCGGCATCACTGAAGCCAAGCGTTGAATGCCAGCACTTGTAATAACAATAGCACTGACTTATCCCAGTGAAACTTGAATCAGAGGGGAGCGCGGTTCATCAGGGTCAGATCTTCATGTGTGATTCAGACAATCAGTGTATTGTGTTTTCTTTTGAGAGGCTCATCAGCCTAGTTCAGAAATCAAGCAGAATGATTTTTAGTGATATGTATCCCAGTCTGATAAGCAACAGATGTTAATGATACTAAGTGATTGTAAAATCCATTTGCTTTACTATCACTGCACTGAGGTGACCGACGATAGACTTCCATTAAAAAAATATATATATACCAAACGCAAATTTAGGAATATTGTAATTCCCATCTCTTTGATCTGAAATATATAATTCTTGAATCTTTTGGAGCTCTGCCTGATTTGACCTCAGAGGGTTAGCTGAGGTCAGGGTTGAGGATGGTAAAATGTTAGTATGGAATGACTGTGACTGTAAATGTGATAAGCTTCTTTGACAGTACTTGATATATACCAGAGAAAAATGACTGCATAGTTCCAACATGATCCTTTATACTTAACGTTAAGTCTATATTTAGTTCTATAAAAGATACCTATGTTAGTCCCAAACAATAGCTGGGGGATCACAGTGCACATCCACCTCACTAGGAATGAGCACTATGCCTCCTTCCCACAAGCTTGGCGTGGAATTCTGACGGGGAGATTAGGGAAGTTTCCAAGCTATTCATACCCCCCCCCACCCCTCTCTATTCTACACAGAGGACTTGGCTTGGCAGCAGAATCGTCTCCTGTTCAACTGGACAGGTCTATTTCTGATGTGCCTCTGATGCCGTGTTTGGAGCGTGTCGCTGAATGGCTTGTACCTGTTTATCCCAGCTGCACACGGGCTTATGAGATGTTTTCCTCGAAGCTTACGAGGTGCTTTTCTCAGCTGGAATGCCTGAATGTTAAATTCAGACCCTTAATCCCAGGAGAAGTGGACTAAACATGTCTTCTTAGCGCTTCCACTATCTACCACAGAAATGTGCTCCATAAACTTTACCTTTTGCTGCATCTTCTTCTAGTTCGCTCCTCCTCTCCACCACGTCTGTACTCAGGAGGGATGAATCCTGACAAAACAGAGAGGATGACACAACTCTGACACATGTCGTCGATGCACATAGATAATACGATTGTTATGTTGACAGTGAACAGGCACAGTTTGTTTGACAGGTGGTGAAATATTGACATGATGCATTATAGTTGCTATGGCTACTGTGCCCATTATACCTGAATTCGTTCACTCCATATTTCACACTCCAGTTGTGTTACAGCTGTTTTACTACACGAGGGTGAGGTGGATCAGTGTTGAGACTCCACCGAGTCATTAGTTTGACGTGTTCATTTGTGACAGATTTGGCTTCAAACCAATGTGTTTTCTGTAAAGAGCTCTAACAGGAGAATTTTTCAGTGGTGAATCCAGTGTTGTCAATATCACATCATCTTATTCCTTATTTTTTACTTTTGCAGTTTTTTCTCCTTTTTTTCTGGTCACCATGAGAAATGGCTGCTGTCTCAATTTCAGCTTAATGGGATCAGATAAGTGTAAATGGGAGCTTTCCTTTAAAAAAAATCTAATTTCATATTTCAATGTAGAAAGTAATAAAAACAACAAACTGAGATAATATGTATTGATACAAATGTGTTTGTATTTGTTTTAGTGGAACCAGAATGTTACAAGGTAAGTTATTTTAAAATTGTCCTCACATTAGATATCGGCTGTCAGAAAGTTTTTATCAGTCACAGATATAATTCATTAAATGATCCAATAAACTTGATGGATAAAATGAGGATAATGACCATAAATAACTGTTTAGCCTACCGCTAATGGAGTAGAACAAAGAATACTGAACAGTGGCTATGATTGGATTTTGAAAAGGACAATAAATAAATGCAGAACACAAACTTTTTCATTTGGCAAACTTTCATTAACTCTTGTCATGAAGGTCGAAGCCTGCGCTCTCCATCCCCAGTGTTAGAAGTGCTTGTCCTTCTCAAGTCCCAACGTCTGGTGAGACATACTCAATGAGACAAGGTCAGTTGCCGGGCAACAGAGAGCCTTCATGTAGATATCACAGGGAAAAGAGGACCATGGTTTTATCTTTATCTGTTTTTGTTTCTATTTATGATTTCTACGCAAATCCATTTTATTGTGATATCGTGTTGTGTTCTTCTTAATCATCCCCCTTCATTGTGTGTGTTTAGGTGTTGTAAAAATGGCTTGCAATGCTTTTAGAGTGAACTTTCTGCATGGACCTTTTGGTTGATGAGGAGTGGATTGTCAGGATGATGCCCCTGTTAGAGAATTGCCTCTGGGTTGGGCTGAGAATTAAACAGTCTAATTGAAATTTGGTACTCCTATTTTAGTGTGTTTTTCTTCTGACCTCTTGTATCTGTGTTGGTCATTGGCCTCGTTGGACTAAGCCACAGATTAGTCACCGACGGTTCACCCATCGCAATAGAGCAGGATGGAGGATATTACTGCATTCATAGTGGCAAGAATACTACGCCAGAGTAAGACTTGTTCCACAGAGCAAATTGGTATGAGTGAGTGAAACCTTTGCATTCCTACTACTCAAGTAGCCAATGAGATTATCCTTTTCTGTTATTGATATAGAAACACTGCAAACATGAGCCTCAAGTTAATGTTTCAAACTGACAATTCAGACTAACATGGTAACAGAGTGAGAAGTTAAAGATATTTGAGTTTCTTGCGTAAGATGTTTTTAAAAAGTGTACTGGTTTGCTTTTCAATGCTCTTTAAACAAAAGCTGTATCGGATCATACAACATTAACATTCAACCAACCTTCTGTACTGCTTGATTTTGTTAAACTGCTCTCATTTTCTAAACTGCTCATCCTGTAAATGTGATGTTGGGGACTGTTAGAGTGCTTTCCCTTGTAAGTGTAGCTTTTCTATTGCAGAGCCAAATCAGACAGGCAAAAAAAAAACAACACTACACTTATGTGCAATTTAGAATTTCCATATCATCCAACATGCATGTCTTTCAGGGTGGGCGGAAACAGGAGCACCTAGAGGATCCATGCAGACACATGCACAATTAAAAAAAAGGGAAAGGAATTTGTGAGTGAAATTCTGGGTTTCTTTCAGAAAGTGTTCACTGGAAAGTGGTCGCTTGACCTTAGAAGCTGACTTTCTTGTTCTAATGCATATGTGAAAGAGATGGTATGCCAGGGGAGCACCCGTCCGATTGCTCTGGAGACCCATGGGCGGCTAGAGTACATGTGGTAGAGGTTACAGTACTCTTTGAGTATGTCATTCAAAAATCGAGATCTGTACTTGCCCAGACAGAAAAAACAGGCTTAGGTGAGTGTGTGTGTGTGGCTTTCTGTGTTGTGCTTGTGGCTCTAGCCGTTCTAAAACTGAATGTGCAATGCAACTCCACGTTCAAGCAATGTTGTCACACCTGTAAGACAAACATGAAAAGATGATTTGGTGCTCTGTTCAGCTGCCTGTCAAGTCTTGGAAGAAAGACTATGATCACACCACAGCTCAACAGGTATTGCTTTGTATTTTTATGTAAAACTGAATTTAGGAAGTGGTTTTTTGACATTTTCAATATCCTGTGCCCCTAAACTATAACCATCACTGCTTACATTGCATGAGTCTGAGTATGTAGTCAGACTAGCCAACTGATACATCATTTTCAGTTCAGTCTTCAACCTCTCATATCTAATCTATCGCTGAGGATTTCAACAGGAATACAAGCCATAAATTTAATGTGAACTAATCAGTCCTCCTGCCCTTTACTAAGAAGGAGATGGACATTATAAATGTCACAAAGATAAAACACTTTAATTATCAAAGACTTAAAGGAAATGATTCATCTGTGCCAAAAAGCAGCGTTATGTCTTCTCATGGGATGTAGCATCAAATGTGGGTGGTGGGTTAATCTGCCGGTGTCAGATCAGGCCAAAATCTCAATCATTAAAAAGGTCCCTCACACATTTCCTTTTCTCCATGCTAATACTAGCATCACTACATAGCACCTGGGAAGAATTGCATTCAGCAAATCCACTTGGAAAAATGTGACAGCCTGCATTCAGTTGTCATATTTACAGAAGGTCATTAAACAATGTGGCCGAAACAGTCTTTGTGGTCTGGTCGTTACAGTTCTGCCAAATTTATGTGCTTGTTCTCAGTGGCATAATTTTATTGAGGACGTAAATGGAATTCATTTTTTTTCAATTGAGTGAGCAAGATTTGCAAGTAATTCACATTTGAAAATATGTGTGTGCCCTCCATGTACACTCGGGATAGAAAAAGGTAATGAAGTGAGGACGGGTGTTGTCGTTGTTGAAGAATCTCTCGTAGATACACTTTGAGATTAGAGCTCTTCATAATGAAAAAGTATAAAATACCAACTAAGTTCCATTACCAGCTGCTACAAATGTGCTGCCTCAATTCAGGCCTGCATAGCAGAAACTATATAATATACACATTTTACAAAATGCAGCTGTAGTGGGTTTTGAAAGCATTATGTTTTAAGGAGATAGTTCTGAAAGCAAGAAAAGATGGTGAACAGAAAATAAATTTTTGGTTCAGCTTATTGTGAGACATACAGTCTGTGTTGGAGCATGTTGTTAGCCAAAAGCTAGTTAGCATGATAAGCTTAATCTGACACATGCAAACATCAAGTTGTTTTACCAACTAGCTTTCTGGTTAACTATTTTGCGTTAGCTAACCAGTCCAAAGGAACTCCCGGGCAGTCCAGGAAAGCAATTTTAACCATTAGAAATTTAACTTTCAAAATTAAGTTAAATTTAGGTAATTGTATTGTTTGAAAGCCCTTAATTGTGTCATCTCATAGTTGTCAAATAGCAGCCCATTGAACATGCAAACATTATTACATGCCTAAACCGAGAAGAGGTTGTTTGGCTGAACTGTACCAGTGGCCCTACAAATGGAAATTTCCATGAGCAATTGTCTTACATCATTGCTCTGCCAGCCAAGCGTTGGACTTTTCCCGTGGACTGTTGCGTTTTCAAAGTAATACGTCATCAGAAAGTGCAACCTGTCTCTTTTGGCTGCTCAGATTCTGTCAGCTGCAGTGTGAGGTGTCTGCTGGGTACATCCTGCCTGCTGAGAAGTGCGTGGCCTTTACAGGAACGCACACAGCCGAGTTAACGTTGGCTGACAACACTGTTTGCAGCCTGGCACGAGTAATACTCCGCATCTCCATAGGATTTCATAACTGAGCTACGACCAAGATGCCAACTGGAACAGTCAAATCTTCCAAATGCCCAGCTATATACTTGTTTTTAACCTGGTCCAAGTGTTTTCTGCTCTTGTGTTTTTGATTAAAAAAGTTCCTCACACACCTAATGCCAACACAGCTGTTGGATGTAGATATTTGCTCGTCCAGCCAGACACCGCTGACTAGAAAAGTCAATCAACACTTTTATTTTCTGTGAGTAAGTGTTTTCAGGTGGTGGTTTGTATATATTCTATTTCATGCAAACACATATTGAGTACCTTAAGAAACAGTTTTGAGTCTCATCCACTGGATCGAAACATTTGAGGCTTCATTTGTTTTATTTATGGGAAAGAAATCAAATGTGGCACAGGTTAGAAAAACTGTCTCAGGAATCGGTCTCTGTTTCTCAACAAGAAAATCACTTATCCACTATTTCAGCACATGAAGAAATCACATTTCACAGTGTGAAGATATACAAGGTAAATAAAGTGAGAAGGCAAAACAAAGCACATCACGGACAAACAACTGTGCGTGCTAACAGTGCCTCACATTTTTGGCAGGTGCTCATATTATATCGATCACTTAAAGTGTGAGATTTTTATTGAGCTAAATGGTAGGCACGAGTAACAGCTGGAGCCACTGCATCACACTGTAATGAATGCAAAAGTAAAGACGGAGATGATGAGAAAAACAAAGGCCTGCTGGGACATTATGCCTCTCTAAGGCAGCATTGCTGGACACAAACTAAAACGTACCACGGCTGCGTGATAATGTTGGAGGAAAGCCAAGCATCCAAGCAATCAAGTAGCATTATGTCCTGAAGCCATGTGGTCAGCAATTCCTTAGTGAAC